TTGGGGGGGGGGTGTCCTTTTTTGTATGTTGTTGTTTTTTAAGCTGCACTTGCTATACCCTTTCAAAGATAATATTGTATTCTTATGCTATGGAGCATATTTTTAAAAAACCCTCTGTGATTTTGATAAAGGTGTCATTGTTATCATAACATTGCCATTATTTGCTTTATACGTGTAATTCAATCTGATTTGTGATGATCAGTAAGGTCAACCTTGGACTGATTGTTGTTTCCTGTTCTGCTGATAAGCTACAACAAGGTGTTTAAAATGGCACATTTAAAGGACTCTAACGTGGTCACTTTTTCGCCAATTAAAAAACCCCCAAACATTTATGCCAATAAAGTCCTACAATGAAAACGTACAATTTGTCAATATGAAGAAAAGAGACGCTTAAGTATTTGAGAAATATCGAGTTTTTGAATTTCAACCAAATTGAGAAAAATATAAAGCTTTTCAGCGTCTTTAACAATCAGCCATAAGAGAACACCTTCCCCACCCCCACCCCCCCCAAAATTTTTTTTTTTTTTTTAAATCATTCGTCTCAGACACTGAGATGAGATGATCATGATATTCATGATTCTTGGTCAATACTTTGGACGTAATTGTTTGATTATTTAGGGGTTATTTCTACGTACTTTGTCCTTTAGAGACCCCGAAAGGAAAACGTTGCACTCTGAATGGGTCATTCTATTGACACACGTTTTATAGCACGCCGCAATGCCAGTTTTGATTTAATGTTATATTACGTTAAAAACAATCACGTTTGCCTATGGTTGAGCGTTAGGAAGTTGTAAAGTTTACTCAATTTTTGGTTGTAATTGAAAAAAATATAATAAAAAAATAAGTTTTTCTCACTTGATTTTCTTCCTAATTTTGATACATTTAACGTTTTCCTGGTTGAATGTATTTCCATTTGTTTTTTAAAGTTTTCTAGAAATTGGAGCAAAGATAATCGAGTTATTGCTCTTTACTTGGGTCTCTCCGTTTTTCTTTAAATATCTGGTACTAAAGAAAAAGAAAACCTTGGATCATGTTATTGTATTGGTGGAGTCTTCGTCAGAGACGGGTTCCTTCTTGTTTGTTCTCGGAAACTATGACGTTGTGTTCAGCTTGTCGGCCCCTGTCTCTTCAAATATCATCAGACAAAACTATCGATGTTCTATCTAGTTTACACTCGGATAACTGCATTGTCTAGTAGGGTCGATAGCGTCCTTCTTTCTCTTTTGCATCCCATCTGCCTCTGTCTCTCTCCCTCCCTCCTTCCCTCCCTCTCCCCCGCCCGTTCCCCCCTCCCCCCTCGTTTACTCGTTGTCCTCCACCTATAGGTTGCACTGTTCGCATTTCCCCATCAACATAGCGAAGAACCTCTTCGTTCCTTGTCCAAGATGACCATGATGATGGCTTCAATTCTGGAAGGTTCCGCTGCCACAGTAAGTCTGGAGATGGCTGATGAAGCCGAAGACGGCTCTGAAGTCACACTCCCGCATGTTTGGAACTCACGCTGTGGACGGAGAAACGTCATCTCGGGCCTAGCGCTCAGTGCGTTTTCTCTCTGCTCCGGCGCTAAGCTCTGGCTTGTTCTGCCACCGACCGTTCACCCTGGTATTGTGTTCCTGTTTCAGTTTACTTGGTCACGCCCAAAGGAAAGGGTTTGGAGGAATGTCTCCGCGCAGGTAAGTGACCTTACTTTACGAACGACTCAGTGTCACTTCTCTGGCACCTCCTCATGAGATCATGAGAGATCCCGACGCGGGGTGGCGTGAGCTGCCTGCCTTGATGGCTATGCACCACAATAAACATAACAATACATGTAGTGTTGTTTGGTGACGCGTCCACCGTGTAAAGAGAAATGACGGTGTGTTAGTAGTGCTACACCTGTCACGTGCTGCTACCATACTGAGGCACTTTAACAAAACAACATTCGAATGATCGACAGAGATATTTAATTTTTATTCATGCTTATCCTTCCCCCTTCCCCCACCCCCTTTTTCAACTTTTCATGGAGTGCAACACATTAATAAAACATTGAGCACAACTGTTTCATAAGCACGTTTTCCATTTTCATCTTAATTGCCACGGTCATCATTTTCCGTTCATTTTCCTCGAACGCAGGGCATCAAACAAATCTTCATTCTACTTATGGAGACGAACAATAATTTACAGACATCTGGACACAAACATTCATAACTGACCATTTTGCAGGCACCAGCAATTCTCAAAGCGAATGCATTATTTTGAAAGAATTCGAGAGAAGGTGTTAGCCCTCTTTGAATTAATGGTATCAATATCGATCCTCTTCTAATATCATCTTGGAAGCAGGCAGTTAGAGCAAGTTCCAAATATGTGAAGATGTAGGCCTACATATAAAAGGACGGGGAGGAAAAACTGTTATAAGGCTATTCTTGGATATCAAAATTAATGTTATAGACTTGAGATTGCTGGACTAACAGAGTGTGTTTAATTTACTTGCTTTTTCAGTATTGGTAAGAAATATGTCCAGTGCAATTAACAACACCAACGACAAAGTACATCGTCGATTATTCAGGTGGCGAAGTGTCTCTCTCACTTTTTCCCTCTCACCCGGTCTGTCTGTCTTTACTATTCACGCTTTTATGCGCCAGCACACACACACACACACACACACACACACACACACACACACACACACACACACACACACACACACACACACACACACACACCCACACACACACACACACACACACACCCACACACACCGACACACACACCCCCACATACACACACACATTCTCCCCCCTCACGCACACACTGACTCAAACACATACACACTCATACAAACACACGCAGACACACACACACACACACACACACACACACACACACACACAAACAAATACACACTCAGGCACTCAAACACACACGCACACGCACTCAAACACACACGCACACGCACAAACACACACATACATACACACACCCACAAAAACACACACAAACACACATACACACACGTACACACATACACACATACACACAAGTACAAACACACAAACACACACACACACACACATACTCTCACACGCGCGCACAAAACACATACACACACACTTCCACATACACATGTACACACACGCGCACGCACACATGCAAATAAACACACAAGCACACATACACACACACAAACAAACACACATACACACGCACACACGTACACACTCTCACACTCTCACAAGAGCTCTTCTCCCCTGTAGGTCAGCGCCTATGGACTGGCCCCCCTCAGTATCTGGACACCATAGCTGACGGAATCAAACTCCGACACTGTGGCTTCATCACTACACAGATCCTCATTGACCTTGCGGAGAAGGAAGTCTTCGACATGGTAGGCCATCCTGCAATAACTAATTTATTTATAGAGGCACCAACTATCCCTTTCTTGTTGCTGTTTTAGCCACAACTGAAATATTTGTGGTATTTCTATTTTTTAATTAATTAATTAATTTTGGGGGGGGGGGTCCCTTAATGTTTTTGCTATAAACGAAACTGTCAGATAATACTTCTATTCTTCGGCATTTACATAACCTACTTGTGTTGCGAATGCCTTAAAACTCCTTATCAAAACTAAGCTTACGATAGACAATGGACAAATCATTTACCCTACTAAATTACCCCAAAGTTTACCTTTATTGACTGACCAAAAAAATTACGAAATAAAAAAACAACACCAAAACAAAGCAAAAACAATCTATCTCGAAAAGTGGTGTCATTTTATGCGTACGACAAAAAAAAAAAAAAGAAAAAGAAAAAACCCTCTTCAAATAATATATATTTTCCCCTCTTTGTTTCAGGATGATGACGATATGATTGCAGCCATGAAATTTTCCTTCGAGAAAATGAAGGTACTGTGTTTTAGTTTATTAAACGAAACATTTTATTTACATTTTTTTCCCCGTTGAACCCTACGGGCGTCTGTGGCTTAGCAGTTATATATATATATATACATACACACATATGTGCACGCCGGAGACCCGAGTTCAATTATCGAGTCAAAATTCTCTATGAAAAAACCTTGAATATCTTTCTACTAGGATGTTGTATCGCTCTGTGTATGTGTTGACCCTGACAGGCAAAGTCGGAAGCCTGCCTCCTATATCATCTAACTTGTGTCCATTGGGGCGAAATAAAAGCACCTTCAATAAAAAAAAAGTCAAATCAATGTTCCACACAGCAATATTTGTAATGTGAAGGTTTGGCTCTATGATCTCGAAGGTAAATTATTTACCTTTTCTCAATTCCCACATCGCTACCCTAAAATTACAAAGCTCTGTCTGCTCAGTACCTAGTTTTGAGAAATGTGATGTCAAAATTTGTGAGTTTCACTACTACATTTCAAGGTTTTTGGAATGTTATTCTTTGAATATCTTGATAACGACTCTGAATAATCTTATTGTGAGGCAGCGCGGTGGAATCAGGCTCTCGTCAATTTTTGGGCATGTAGAGTTATTGGTATCATCTTAAAGCTTGTTCATTTGTCTTTATGTGGATGAAAAAGTATCCATTTGTCTTGAATACAAGTCGAGATATTTGCAATTGAAGGAGGTGGGGTCACCTGTTTTCAGAGATAAAATTAGTGAGAAAATGACCGCCAAAGATTAGTTATTTCCTTAGCTTAAGAGCCTGTGGTAACTGAAAATTTACATTTTTTGTGCCTTTAATCAACGTTTTTCAGAAAAATCCACAGAGAAATGAGTTTTTAATGGGCATGAAAGGTGTTGAGCCAAAAAGCAAAAATTTGATAAAAATTCACAAACCTGCGGAAAAATGCAAGTTTCTTCACTTTGATTATTTTGACGAGAGCCTGATTCCACCACGCTGCCTCACTTATGGTTTTGATAAAGCAGATAGAAAATTTGGTTTCTGGCCTCATGGGACTAGTAACTGAAAACAGCCAAAAATATCAGATAGAACTTTGTAATTCTGATGTGGCGATATGTCGGAGCTATTTCGTCGATTAGCTCCATATTTATGCTGGGAAACTGCTTGCCACTCAGCCGGATAGAAGCAGCCCAATTTGAAAACTATGTCAGTGGGTTTGTGTGATCATCATTTAACCCCATCCCCCACCCCTCCCACTCTCAAAATTTCGCTACCTTTAAATAGCAAAGTTCTATCTGACATTTTTGGCCGTTTTGAGTTACTCAGGTCTGAAACCAAATCTTCTATCTGCTCTATCAAAATCGTAAGATGAATCGGAGTCGTTATCAAGACATTCAAAGAAGAGCATCTGAAAAAGCTTGATATATGAAACTCAAAATTTGTAACGCAAAATTTCTCAAAACTAGATACTGAGCAGATAGAACATTGTAATTGTAGGGTAACGACTTACTTTGTAACTGTTCAGTTCGAATGGTTGTAAAATGACGCAACTCCACATTGAAATGCCTTTCCTTTGACGTTGCACACATAAGGCATGAGTTCCATTATCGTGTGAGCAGATATTTGATGCGGGTGGTTGTCGGGGGCTCTTATAATGTGGTTTACCCCTTCTTTCCTATCAAACATCAGATCTGTCGTCCGTATCCCTCCTCCTTCTATTTGCGATTGCTACTCTCTTGTAACTCCTCTAATCTTCCTTGCTTATATGATTAATTGTGTTGCAAGTGCCTTAAACTCTTACTGCCTCCCTAGGACAGTGCTACTGACTAAAGTGTCTTTAGGACATTCCCAAAGAGGGGATATTACCATGTTCTTATGCACAGTAGAATTGTAAATGGGCTGATTTATCAATGTCATTCTCATACTGTGCCGGAACAACGTAGGGGAACTGCTGGTTTTTCTTTCCCTATCCTTATCATCGTCATTTTTCCTCTTCTTCTTTTGTATGTTTGTCACTTTCTTGTGAATTGCTATTTCCGTGGTGCCTTGATAGTCGAAGCAGACTTACCGCTGTTGAGGCTAGAGAGGTGAGCAGAGTAAGCCTGATTCCCCGTTTGGACTTATTTGTTGACATCAACCCCTTGGCGCTCGTATGACCTTATGCACATGTAAAACCTTACAACATGTAAAACTAAAAACTCTTACTAAAAGTGAACTTTTTGTTCTCCAAAAACAGCTGGTCATCGAGCCCGCTGCAGGAGCTACCGTAGCCGCAGCCTTTTCCGACAAGTTCCAAAAACTGGACTCTTCCCTGGAGAACATCGGGGTCGTCCTGTGTGGGGGCAACCTGGATATCGAGCAACTGCCTTGGTGAAGTGCGGAAGTAGGGGGCGGTTCTCACCTCAAAAGGCGGGGCTTACTTGTCAGGAGGCGGGGCTAACCTGTCAGGAGACGCAACTTTCTGTCAGGAGGTGGAGCTTACTGCTGGGAGGTGGAGCTTACTGCTGGGAGGTGGAGTTACTGTCAGGAGGCAGAACTTATTGTAAAGGGGCAGGACTAAGCCGTGGTGAGGGCATGGCTAAACTGTGATATTACTGCGGTGAATTTGTTATATTTCTTTGTTAGATGTGAAAGATAATCTATTTTTCTATGAATGGATGAATTTTTGTCACCGTTTCTAGAGCATGGTTTGTTGTTCCCAAATGATGTTACTTACCGGTGTCACTTTGTTAAAGGTGCAAGAGAGATATTTATGCCAATGTTTGGCTCTCATTACTTTGAAGCCTAGTTGGCTGTCATTTCATGAGGCACGCTATAGAGAAAGAAATGTTTCCTTTGTTATTTATAGGAACAGTGCAAATTCTTTATGGGGAAAACCAGATAGTGTAGCTGAAGAATTATATTATAGCTTTTTGGGGAAGTTATTCGTTAGTGTTGGCAGGTAAATGTTCATCCTGAAATATTGCCATCACCAATTTGAACAAAACGTAGAGTTTGTCATTTCGAAGACGTACACAGCCTAAAATTTATATAATTTTATTTTGGACATTTGACATGTTCGTCTTCAATTCTGCACAAAAAAGGACACCCCCCCCCCCACTTTAAACAACAACAACTTAACAAAATAAAGAAAACAACAACTAACAAGCTAACAAACAAAACCACCTACCCCACCCCCGCCGGAAAAAAGCGCGGTTTAACGAAAAAGAAGCACACCTATGTATCGTCAATTTTGGGTTGTGTACTCGGAAGTAATCAGCCAATTGTCCCAAGTACAACTCTAGCAGTAAAGCAGTGGGTTTATCTGGTTTGTTCATTTAGGTAAAAGTAACATTTCAGAGTTACTTTGGCGAGTAAGTGAACATGATTTGGTTCTTTTAGTAAAAACTAACATTTGAGAGTTACACTGGCTAGTAAATGTAATTATGGTTCATTTAGGCCAAAGTAACATTTCAGAGTTACACGTAGCATACTTTACTATTTTCGAGAATAGTGTGCAGGTCTCTCTTTGTAAGAACGGGTAGTAGTTTCTCCTTTGACGATGCAGATTGTTTGATCTAAAGATATTGGGAGAAAAGACTATTTTTAGTGACCAAATCTGAGTCGATAATGCTGTACAACACTTACTCAAACAACAACAAAAGCAGTTTGAAGGTGGGGTTGGTTGTTTATGTGTGTGTGCGTGTTTGTGTGTGTGTGGGGGGGGGGGGGATGGGGGTTACAGAATGCACACAGAGTGTTCAATTACCTATTGAGATACAGTATGTGGTATATACACTAAAGAAACTGCATCATGACAACGCTTTGGAATAATGAGAACTATTCTTTATTGTTTCAAAGGAATTGTCAACTGACATTTAAAACGCAATGCACCACTCACATTCGTACCCCAGTGATGATAACACTTTTGTGGAAATATGAATACTTCTCAGCATACCATTCATTTAGAAAGAACATTATCATCATTATCATCATTTCTTGCTCTCCCGTCTTATCATAACAATACGCACGTCAGTGATATGAAAGGCCAATTTCTTCATCTTTACCTCAACTTATTTAACTGCAAAATGCCTGCTCGGTAGTCGTTGACGCCCTATCTTGTCCATCTTCTGTAGTATTATTTCCTAACAAGAAAGAGGTATCTTGATGATGGTTGTGACTTTTTTGTGTATTTCATTAAATCATCTTGAATTCTCAAGTTCTAACATGACATCCATGTGATAGAATGCTAGGTTTCCAGTTGAAACACGATGATTTTTTATTAGTGTTATTTATAAATAATAATGCATGTTGGATAATATTCGCGTATTACGGCAAGTCCTACTGTTGTTGACAGATTAAGGATTTTTTGTCTTGAAAAGTACACAAAAAGATGTAACTTCAGGGATGTTTTAGTAAACATGTTGGTAATAATATGCTCAGCGCAAAATAACAGGTATCGTCGTCGTTGTCGTCATCATGAAGTGCCAGTTCTGCGACAGACATCAACGATCATGGCTCGCCATTCATTCCTTAGCTAGGATGCTCTCAAAAACGATAATATGTTACTATCCTGATCGTTGATTGTCACTTAATTGTTTAGGCTCTTCAAGTAAGTTACTGTGAGTCTTCAGGCTCGTTTGCCTTCAATGTTGCCTGTGAGAACTAGATGTTCAAGGCTCTAATGGCTATTCAAGTGTCCCAGAAACTGCATTTGTCTCTTCTTAATTGTTGCAATGAGAGAGCAGATCACGTGGGCTTCTTCAAGTACTATTTCATGCGATTTCTTTCCCTTCCAAGAAATTCTTAAATCCTGAAAGAAACATATTTCTGTTGCTCCTATTTTTATTTTCACTGTCTTTAGTGATTTCATGTATACACAGCCATATAGACGAGTTGACCAAGAGTATTTTAGAATCTTTATATTGGTAGTCATTGAGATGTTTTTATTTTTCAGAATTGGGCTCATTTTATTGAGACTTTCTCGAGCCATTGCAACTAACTCTATGTTTTACTTCTGTGGAACATTTGACGTCAGATGTAAATTATATATCCTTGATATTTAAACTGTTGAACCTGTTTGATCGTTTCCCCTTTGCTTATGAGATTACAATTAACAAGTATGTCATATTACAATTTCTTAAATGTGACTGTAGATAGCGTGAACCAAAATGCATGGCTAGTACTTTTGGTTAGCTAAAAAGAGATGGACGTCATTGGTTTAATGTAATGGTTTTGAGGGAATTTCTGGCATACCTGCGCTAGCATCTATGACCAGCAGATTAGGCAAGTCTGTCACAACATGGGAAATCAGTTTCTAACGTATAGGAGGCTTGGCAAGTCATTTTTTGTGGTCGGGAGGTAACTCGATGTCTATGCCTTTTTTGTTGTTCAGCTTTGAACTCACTCAGTTTGAAAAGTAGGAACATGCATAACATTTTTACTGCGTTTCTGACTGTACACAATTTCGTAATATCACTCGTGACACTGCTGAAAATATCAAATAAGTAAGCCCCCCCCCCCACCCACCCTGTCCTTTTTCGCTTTCAGGGTAAGGGATAAAAATTAGACCACTTAACACTAGCCGGAGGTGTAATTTCTCTTAGAGGAGGAAAAAAAATCACATGGACATTAATTCTTCCTCAGTTGTGTTAGTGCGTTGTTGTCAATGGAACATCGTCTCTTCCTTCTCCAGCACCTTCCTTTTTGCCTTGTTTATCGTCTGTAGTACAGTGGCCACTGTCGCACGCAGAAGGTATGAGTTCGATCCCCATTATAGAGAGATTTTTTTTTATTCCAGTACATCTGACTGTTTGCTGGGAAATTGTATCCCTCTCACCTCATATTGACCCTGAAAAGTAGTGTTGAAGCAGGCCTCTCTTTGAATGATCTAATTTGTATCGATAGGGGTGTGAAACGTCTGGTATTCTACTGTGGCCCTTTAAAAAAATTGAAAACCGATGACTAACTGGGAGGTAAACCCGAAACACATTTTTTACAAAATACATAAATAAAAGATCAAAAACTATTTTTAAAACAACATTTATTTATTGACTTTAAAAATAAATCTAGTCTAATGACCCTTCTTTGCCCTCATTGGCTCCTTCTCAGAACTGTGGAAAGAATGTGATTACCAACATATTATTTTGGTGGAGACGTAGTCTATTGGTAGCTCATACATAACTTATTAAGTTAAAAGGGACCCTTGGTTTTCTTGTTTGTTTGTTTTTGTTTTTGTTTTAGACAAATCGACTTTGAGGGCTAATTTCGGGATATTTTTAGAGTTTTCACATAGATTGAAAGTCTCGACATTTGACATTTAATTTGTACTGCTTTCACTTTGAACGAGAATACCCCCTGATGGTCGTGATCAGACCGTCAACCTGACCTTCCTTTATACTGTGTCCAGTTGTCAAATATTGGTCTTACATGTGTTGTTACTTAAGTTGTGATTACAATTATTATTGTTATTTTGTTGTTTTGTCGTTTGATATTACGGTCCAATTGTCCTTGTTAAACTTCTCGCTACCAGACCTGCTCTTGAGTCCCACAAATAGTTCGACTTTGTGGGGCCCGGCAGTGAAATGGTTAAATGGGAAGCTATAGTGAATAGTCGATATAATGGTACCATTTACGGGCAGGGGCGCAATTTGATATTTTCTCCAGAGGAAGGTCAAGACAATATAGTTTTTTTTTTAGGAAGTCAGATCGTTCCAATTTTTCACCTCAGTGCACTGCGAACAGTGTGGTAGTCTCATAGAGACGGCAAATTGCTTTTGGAATTTGATACACAAAGAAAACCCTTTAAAAAAAAGATATGTGCATATCATCATAAAGGCTCAGCTGCTTAATTTGATTGAAAACTCAAGTAGACACTTAGCGACACTTATTTGTTATTACCATTAGCTTCCAGCCAGTTGATGTGGCAATTGGATCTTCATGTTTATTTTGTATGTATATATTATGTATATTCAATCTCTCATCACAGCCACTGCAATCTGAAAAATGGCTCAAGGGTGTGCACCCGAGACAAGACGATCTCAAATTCGAAAGTCAGACAGTGTACCATTAAAAATCTCGAGATTTAAACAGATGTTCGCTTAAACATTGAGACCAACAAACTACACGTTTGATTGTACATGTATTTCTATAGCTTTATGGGATATCGGAAAAGACTTACCGGAACAGAGCAGAACATTTCACTCTCGTAAATCGTATACCTTTAACAAAACAAGTTTGAGAAGGCAGGACAACAATTGAGTCGATAGTGCCGTAAAACACCTACTCAATCAATCAGTGAGAAGGCATACATTCAGGATATGCACGCGGAAGATATTCATTGAGTGTCTTTTTCGTTCTCCTTATCTGTATTCCTATCAATAAGCGCTACTCTTAATGGGCGGGATCGAAAAAGCCCACTTCCTAAGTGGTCATAAGCGAGTTGATTGTTGGGGAGGTCGGAGGGTTTATTGCATTAACTATTACAAGGCTGTTGTAGGGCTCTCCACTAAGAACGATGTTTTGGTTCGTGAAAAGAAATAATGTTTTCCTCTCTGCGCTGTTCAGGTAACACATCAGACCTCACTTGGTTACTTTCCACTGTAAATCTACATGTTTTGAATTTGATGTTGATATTATTGAATGACGACACTGACATACAATCTTTCGTTTTGGACAATGTCGTCACGCCTGCACACTCATTAAGATATTTTTTGCTCATTCATATATATTATTACCTGTTTGAATGTGGCTTTTGTGAATATACCTTTATAATGTATTATCTATGTATATGTGACGATATGTACATATTTACATGTGTATACATGCATAATACATACATTGTGTGTGTGTATGCATGTGTATGTAAGTATGTATGCAAATGTGTGTGTGTGTGTGTGTGTGTGTGTGTGTGTACACCTGCGTGTATGATTGTGAGTGTGTGTGTGTGTGTGTGTGTGTGTGTGTGTGTGTGTGTGTGTGTGTGTGTGTGAATGTGTGTGTGTGTGTGTGTGTGTGTGTGTGTGTGTGTGTGTGTGTGTGTGTGAAAAGGGAGCTTGTGTCTGTACAAAAACAAGATGTATTATGTATGTATGTGCAAACATATATGTGCATCTCTCTATTATGTTCACATAACTTCACAATATTTGCCTGTTGTTTTGATATTATAACTATGATATTACATAAGACTGGGAATTGTTTATTTTTATTATTGTGACTACTTCCAAATCTGAGATACACACCAACTCCTCTAAACCTTTCTTTTACTTTTCCTTTGTTGATTCTGTCTATCCTATCTATTTTCCTTATCCCCTGCACGGCATAGCCGTGATGGTGTCAACGTGCTTCTCTCTACTTAATACTTATCTCACCATTCCTGGGGAATAGTGTCGCGACACAGTAGAAGCAGGCGCTCGTCTAGTTTTTGAGTATAATATGAAGTTATTTTGTATCATCGTTAAGCTTGTATAATTTGTCTTGCTTTTGACCAAATACATCCATCAATTTGGAATAGGAGTCGAGATATTTACGATTGAAGGAAGTAGAGGGGGGGGGGGGTGTCACCTGGTGTTAGATATAAAATTAGCGAGAAAATGGCTCCCAAAGTTTAGTTACTTCCAAAGCTGAAGTGACTTTGGAAACTGCAAATTTACGTTTTTGTGCCTTTTATCATTTTCAGTAAAAATCCACACAGAAATGAGTTTTTAAATGGATACAAGAGGCGTTGAGAAAAAAATTAATTAAAAAATCTAAAATAGATCAAAATTGCCCTTTGGGCGAAAGAAGAAATGCGCATGATTTCACGTCTTCGATGCAACGTCCTCTCAGCCCGGTGCCCTTACAAGGGACATAATTGTTGTCCACCTTTGGAATGATCTCCTCTCTGTCTACAAAGAAAAGACGAAAGTGACAAGATTCACCTCTATTCTAGTGTAATTAGTCTGTACTTTTTATGGGTATTTTTGGAGAGGATTTACGAGATGTGTTGGATCATTATCATGGCAAATTTAAAGTCGTTTGGCACACTTCCGATCTATATTTTAATTTGCTCCGGGGCTGGGAATCTTGGCTGCTTTTCAGTTTAGAGGTATGTTTATTTCTAATTAAAGCAGAAGTGGGCTAGTTGGGCGCGATATGGTGAACTCATAATATTTGGAGACAATTCAACCCAAACCCTTAGAAGTGGATGCTTCTGCTTAAATAAAATGCTGTCATTGTGAAGGTGGAAAGTTATGGTTTGCATCTCACTACTCGTGCGAGAAGTTACAGCTTTGTTTAGAGCGGTTAGTTAAAAGGGGAAAAATACAGTAAAAAAATATCATTAGTTAATGAAACATAAAATAGCATCCAAACTTAAATAACTTGGGCCATTTACACAAAATATCGATAGTGAAGAGTTTTATTTGTGTATATTATCTTTTCCTGAAATATTTATGAATAATATATTTATTATACTAGACTGTTTTCTTGTTACCTTTAAAGATGCTCTTTAACCAACTGAACACACAAAATAATATGCTGTTAATAAGTACTGCTTACTGTATGCCTATCTGCTCTGTTTTATTTGGTTTTGTATTGGCTCGGTTTTGCTACGTGGTACAATGTATTGCTATTCTCTTCCGTATATTTACATTGTCTTTTAAATATGTACAGATTTGTATTGTCGGAACTCATCAACAAAATAACGCCATTGTGCTGTTAAAACCAGACAACCGAAAATATCAGATGGTTGTATACAAAATGTATTTGTTATCATCTCGTTTAGATACAGATTACGAAGTAAACATTGAGAGTTCATAGAAGTGTTGCTGAGTGGTAATGCTGTTTTCCTCTGTGTATTAACATTGACATAGTCTTTTTACTCGTAAGATACGGATAGATTTGCATTGTCCAAATTCAATAAGAAAATTATGGCACTAAGTAGTCAAAATGAGACAACTGCAAAAATCGGTTACCTTCTACTTTCGATACAGTTTATGAAAGTAAATATTGAGAGTTCAGAGGTCATGGCCTTGATGGGTAGAGACTCAAGTTCATTTTGTACCGTGGACGTTCGTTTTTTTGCCTTTGAAATCCTCTGAAAATAGCACTAAGGTCCCGACTTAACTCATTCAGACAGTGGGGCCAGATTCTCAATTTGCATCCCAGAATGCTTTATTTTGAGGAATTAAAAAAAACAACCCAATTAAACCCAAAAAGCTTCCGTTATAACCTTAAACACAAATTATAAGGAAATATAGCTTTTTCATTAAGTGCTCCTTTCAGTCTAAATAAACATGAACGCAGACAATTGTTCTGTAATGCCAGCAGCAGCATTTTCTAATAGGAAAATAATGTTGAATAGTTTCTGAACAGATTGCGGATTCGAAACTCCTTGTCGAAAATATCTATGTGAGTTTATTGAAGACAGTGTCATAATAATTATTCCCGTACTAAATTTAGATGTGCACGATTATTATCATGTATTGTTGCGGTCCAAATCAGAACTTTTGTGTGTTTTTGGGGGTGTGGGGGGGGGGGGGGGGGGGGGAGTTAAAGTTAAAGTAAATTTCTGAAAATTAAGGGTGCTCTCATGCAAACAGTTTGTAGCATGCAGGGTATTCAGCATTAGCCAAACGGAATCATCCTTCTACATTGTCATCCTTAGTACACGGAGGCAGGCGTTGCTGTCATTACAAAAGAATAAGACGTCGGAGTCTGGGGAGTAGGAGTCGGCCAAGAAATGTACCGTGCTCTGCAATTGGTGCATTTATATTATATTCATGTGCCACGAAACGTGGAATCAGGCACTCGTCAATTTTTGGGCATAGTATTATGGAGTTATTGGTATCATCTGTCATTGTTATTTTTAATGACCCCTCCCCCCCCCCTTTCAATCTATCTTTGGTAGAAGTCGAGCGAGTTCGAAATTTGTGGTTTAGCGGAGGGGAAAGTCGCCTGGTGTTAGTGGCGAAATTAGCAAGAAAATGGTCGCAAAAGTTTAGCGACTTCCAAAGCTTGAGTATTCTTGGAAATTGGAAATTTATATCATTTTGTACCTTTGGTCAATGATTTTTTTTTTTTTTGGGGGGGGGGGGTGGGGGGGGACGTTGAGGTTGTTTTTTGATGGTTAAAAAGTAAACTCCTCACAGAAATGTGTTTTAAATGGACGTAAAAGGTGTTGAGCTAAAATATATTTTTTTTAAATGATAAAAATTACATGTACCCAACGACTAAAAAAAAAAAAGTATTATTTCTTCGATTTCATTAGTTTGACGAGCGCCTGATTTTTTCCATGTTGCAACAACATTATTTTTGTTTATATTATTTATAATGATTAACAACATCTCTACATGCGACATGAACGCTTTTTTAACCTTCGCTGTGTACACCTGACCTGGTTATTCGAGCATTGTCTTTTTATCTTTTTTGTATTTTTTGTTATTCTTTCGAGGACGGTGACAATTTTGAGACAGGTTTACATAGATTGTTAATTGTTCAGTGCAGGAACTTTTTGTTCCAAATTTTCAAAATGGTTGACATTGTTGGAGGCTGGCACGTTTTGTCTTCCCTTGTCGTATATTTTCATTGTATTGACGGCAAACGCCGGAGATGGCTTCGTTGTATTTTTGTCTCAAGTTGATGTTATGTGCTACGCTAAAACACTTGAATTTTAAAAGATATAATGTTGGGTTTAGGGGCGTGGGGGGTAGGGGGGGGGGTAATAGACCACTTGCATTTGTCCTTATTGAGGGATCGGGCACATGTGGTGTTGTGGTTAGGCGTTTCATGGTCGATTGCAGGAAACATGAGTTCGATTATCGTATAGGGATAATT